CCCTTGTCTTACTAAAAATAGAAAAGAGGCCGGGACGCCAGTGCGGCTCAGTGCCTGTTAATCCCAGCACTTTGGAGGCTCGAGGCAGGCGGATCACAGGGGTTCAGAGAGTCTGAGACCATCTTTGGGCTAACCCTGTGAAACTCCTGTCTCTAACTGAAAATGGCAAAAAAATAAAAATTGCCCGGGCGTGGTTGGCGGCGCTGTAGTGCCCAGCCTACTGGAGTCTGAGGCATGTGAGGTGCGAGAATGGTGTTCGAACCTGGGAGTTGGATCTTACAGTGAGCCTGACAATTCTTTCCACTGTCACTTCCAGCCTGGGCAACAGAGCAAGGACCCGTCCATCCAAAAGGGAAAAAAAATGAGTTGGTGCGGGTCACACGTGGCATTTCATCCCAGCTACTCAAGGGAGCGTGAGGCAGGGAGAATCACTTGAACCCCAGGTGGCCAGAGGTTGTTTAGTGAGCCGAGAGTCGCGCCACTCGCACTTCCAGCCTGGCAACAGAGCGAGACTCTGTCTCAAAAAAAAAAAAAAAAAAAATTCGGTTGCCGGGCAAGGTGGCTCAAGCTGTAATCCAGCACTTTGGGGAGCGGGACGGCGGATCACTACGGGTCGGGAGAATCGAGACCATCCCTGGCTCTGACACGGTGTAATACTCTCACGTCTTACTAAAAAATTCAAGAAAAACTAGCCGGGCGAGGTGGCGGGCGCCTTGTAGTGCCAGTACTCGGGTAGGCTGAGGCAGGGAGGAATGGCGTGAACCCGGGTGAGGGGAGTTGCATGTGACTGAGATCCGGCCACTGGCCACTCCAGCCTGGGCGGCGAGCGAGAACTCCGTCCACAAAAAAAAAAAAAAATTCATTTTCTAAATAGAGACAGGGTCTCGCTATGATGCCCAGGCTGGTCTTGAGCTCCTGGTCTCAAGTGATCCTCCTGCCTTGGTCTCCCAAAGTGCTGGGATTACAGGCATGAGCCATTGCGCCCGGCCAGGGTTCACTGCTTTCTTCTCAGTGACTGCAACAGACAGTGCCTGCACATAGTAGGTGCTCAACAGATGCATGGTGAATGGTGGTTAAACCAAAAGCTTGGATTCCTTCCCGGTCACAGGCACAAGGCTCCACTCCTGGGTTTCATCTGCTTCAAGCTTAGACAATAGCTCTGCCTCCACAAACCACAAGTCTGCCTGGGTGGCACTCTTCATGCGAGTGGGGGCGCTTCTGCTACAAGTTCCAGGCCCGGGGTGACAGTTCCAGCCCCCAGCTCTCCTCCCCTACCTACGGATGCATAATCTTGTTCCTCAAAATATACCAAGGAACCATGTCTCTCTCCTGAGGGAGTTGTCCTCAAGTCTAGAAGAGAATTCTCACCTGGATCTGAGGTGGAGGTTTGGAACTCTCCATTTCACCCTGCCCTATTGGGACCATCCCCTTTTCTCCCTAGGGGACCTGGACAGACCATCCCTGGCCCCTTCCAATCACAGTCATGTTTCCAGACTCCCAGCTCATTCACGACTCAGGAGTCCTGACTCCTAGCTCAGACCTTCTGGGGCACCCAGGCGTCTGGATCCCTAACCCATTCCCTGCAGGGCTTTGGAAGTCTGAGTCCCCACCCCTTGCAACACACAAACCTCCTCCATGTAGGACACCAGTGGCCCCGGTCCCCAACCACTGCAGCAAACCCATGGGGGCTCTGGAGTGCAGGCCTCAGGTCCAACTCTCCAAACACTGAGAAGCCCCAACCTTGGTCCTTAAGGGACCTAGGAATTGGGGGACCCAAGCCCCTCCCCTCAGCTGTGGGGGCAGCTGAGCCAGGGGTCAGGCTGTAGTGGGGAGGCCAGAAGGGGCGGGGACAGCCGGGATTGGGAGGGGAGAACAGCAGCGTGGGCGGCTGGCAGAGGCAGGGAAAGACCAGCAGAGAGGAAAGAGAAACTGGGAGAGGGAGGAAGGGAGAAAGTGAGAAGGGAAATCGGAAAGAGAAAGGGGAGGAAACGGCAGACGTGGAGAGTCAGAGAGAGAGACAGAAAGAGGAAGAGACTGAGTGTGAAGGAGAGAGGACACGGGATGACAGAGAGAGAGAGAGAGCGCGCGCGCGAATGAGATAGAGACTTAAAGAAGAGACCCTGTGAGTCTGTCAATCAAAGATTTGGACAGAAACGGAAAGATTGGAGAGAGAGATAGAGGGAGAGAATGAGTGAGAGAGAAACTGGAAGAGACAGAGGTCAGAGAGAGGAGAGACACAGAAAGTGAGACTGGGGAGGGAGATAGTGTAAAACGGAGAGAGAGAGAGAGAGAGAGAGAGAGACCATAAGAGACAGGAGACAGACAAAAAGTGAGCAGGTGAGGAGAGAGATTGAGAACTATGAGAGACAGCAGCTAACAGACAAAGGAGGCGGGAGACTGCCAGGGTGCTGCTGCAGCACCCACACCGTCCTCTTGCCCCCTGTCTTTGGGACCCTAGCGCTGGGTAAGTTCCCTGGCTGGGCTGGGAGGGCCTCTCTGGGTGCACATTCCTGCTGCTGCGGGGCTTGGCTTGGGGAGTTGGCAGGGATGCTTTGGGGGTGCATGTGGGAGGGCGGGAGACAGGTAGCCTGGGGCAGCCGGAAGGAGGCAGGGAATAGGGGGTCCTTAAGCTCAGAGAGGGTCAAATTCCTGGCCTGAGTGCAGTGGGGAGGAATAAAGGATTCCCTATTCTCTGGCCTGGGCTGCAGACAGCTGCCCCCTCCCGCAGCTGCCAGGGCCGCCTACCTCTCTTGGCACCACTCTTGGTATGTGGTCACGGGCCATGGCCTCCCCCAGCCCCTCAGTCCCGAAACAACAGGCTCTTTCTCTGCAGCCTCCTCAGACCTCCAAGCCCCTGACCCCATCTCTGTCCCGCACCCGTCACTGCGGAGACACAGCCCCTTTCTTTCTCTCCCCAGCCCTTGATGGAGGGGAGCCGACCTCGAAGCAGCCTGAGCCTGGCCAGCAGCGCCTCTACCATCTCCTCACTCAGCAGCCTGAGCCCCAAGGTTTGAGCTTCCTGGCGGGGATGGGGAGGAAGGTGGGGCTCTGGGCCGCCCATCCCTCTGTTTCCCCAAGGACTCTGGTTGTTAAGGACAAGGATCCTTAGCAACAGGGTCTGCCAGACAGTAAGGTCCCAAATTGCCTACCAGCCGCAGCTAGGAATTCAGAGGCACTCCCAGCTCTGTCCCCACCCTTTGTATTTTCCTAATTCTAAACCAGAGTAACAACCTCCCTTGACCCTGGTTGCTAAGATAAAGCCGCTCCCCAGCCATGAGGCCCCTTGAGTTCTCAGAAGTAGCGGGCTGCTCTTGATTAGTGCTAGAACTTGCTGTCCTATCTCTTGCCATCCAGTCTATCCACTAATGAAATCCTATAAGGAAAGACCCTTCTCTGACGGTAAGACCCAAGGGGCCCCCGGATACTTGCATCCCAAATCGGCATCCCGGCCAAAAGCTTAGGGAGACACTCATTTCTTTTTCCTCCTGCCGTTCCACACACGTCCTTTCCTGTGTTCGGAGCCCGGAGATCTGACTCAGCCTTGGTCGGTACCACCGCTTCCCAGGAAGGGCATATTGTGGGGACCTGGCTAAGGATGCCTGAGATATCTGTGGGCATCGGGAGACGAGGCTCCATCCGGGCAGGATGGAGGGATTTGAGGCTTCCTCTCCTTGGTCTTGGTTGCTAAGGGGTGTGACCGCAGGGCACCAGGGCATCCTTTGATTCACTGGGGACTCAGCGTGAGAGTTCCCCCTGATTATGGGGACCTCCCAGCCCATAGTCCCAGTTCACATCCCAAAAGCCCCTACTACAGCTCTAGCTCTGGTGGCCAAGGGCATCTGCTTCTTGGCAGTGGACCCTTGATCAAGCAGTTGCTTCCCTACAGCCTCTTCCTTGCCTCTGAACACCTCCCTCCGCCCATCAAAAAGAGAGTCTCGGCCCGACACAGTGGCTCATGGCTGTAATCCCAGCACTTTAAGAGTCTGAGGCGGGTGGATCACCTGAGGTCAGGAGTTCGAGACCAGCCTGACCAACATGGCGAAACCCTGTCTCTAGTAAAAATACAAAAATTAGCCAGGCCGTGGTGGACGCATGCCTGTAACTCAGCCTCTCGGGAGGCCTGGCAGGAGAATCACTTGAACCTGAGAGGTTGAGGTTGCAGTGAGCCAAGATTGTACCATTGCACTCCATCCTGGTGGACAGAGCGAGACTCTGCCTCAAAAGGAAAAAAAAAAAAAAAAAAAGAGTTTTCATCCCATTCTGGGCAACAAAGGAGACCCCCTCCTCTACCAAAAAGTCAAAAAATTAGCTGGGCGTGGTGGTACGTGCTGTGGTCCCAGCTATATGGGAGGCTGAGGCTGGAGGATCACTGAGGTCCAGGAGTAATGGTTGCAGTGTTTAGCCATTGCACTCCAAAGAGGCTGTCTCAAAAAAAAAAAAAAAAAAAAAAAGTAGCTCTCTTACTCTGCAATAGAACACCTCCCCAATTCTGATCTCGCAACCTCAGCCCC